AAACGTGTGATCTGCTTTACATTATAGAAAGATCAGTGTCTACACTGGGAGACCAATTCACATACAGCAGAGTCAATACTATGGTAGCAGTCCAGATAGTATTGATGGCATCTGTGACTAAAGAGGAAGGGGTAGAAATGATAGAAGTGGTAGGATGTGTTGTGGCCGGTCCTCTGGCATAGCAGTAAAACTGCCGCCTGCAGTGCTGACATCCCATGTGGGTATCAGTTCAAATCCCAGCTGCTCCACTTCTAATCCAGCTCTTTGCTATGGCCTGGAAAGCAGCAGAAGATGGTCCAAATCCTTGGGTGCCTGCACTCACCTGGGAGACATAGAAGAAGCTCCTCATTTCTGGCTTTGGATCAGCTCAGCTCTGGCTGTTGAGACCACTTGGAGAGTAAACCAGCGGTTGGAAGCTCTTTCTCTCTCTGCCTCTGCCTCTACCTCTCTGTGACTCTGCTTTTCAAATAAAAAAAAAAAAATCTTAAAAAAAAAAACCACACACAAAACAACTACAATCCCTAAAAGTGTCAGGAGTGGATTGGATTTTGTAGGGAAAGAGCAGAGGACTTACTAATAGGTTGGATAGTGAAGGCAAGTAGAGGAGAGGAATCAAAGGTGACTAAAATTTTTGGGTCGAGCTATTAGATCAGTAGGGATAATTATTAATTGAGATAAAATTAAACTGAAGAAGGACCAGATTCTTTGTCTATGTTAGTCTAGGATGTATGTTACATGTCATCATAAGGATACACTTTTTTAGGGGCTGGCACTGTGGCGTAGTGGGTAAATGCTGGCATTACATAAGGGTGCTGGTTCAAGTCCCAGCTGCTCCATTGATGATCCTGCTCCCTGCTAATGTGCCTAGGAAAGCAGAGGCAGACGGCCCAAGTCCTTGGGCCCCTGCACCCATGTGGGAGACCTGGAAGAAGCTCCTGGCTCCTGGCTTTGGTCTGGCCCAGCCCTGACCATTGTGGCCAATTGGGGAATGAACCAGCAGATAGAAGATCTCTCTCTCTCTCTCTCTTCATTTCCCTCTCTCCCTCTCTCTCTCTCTCTCCATCTCCACCTTTCTCTCTGTAACTCTGCCTTTCAAATAAATAAAATAAATCTTTTTTAAAAAATAAATATATTTGGCCGGCGCCGCGGCACACTAGGCTAATCCTCCACCTTGCGGCACTGGCACACCAGGTTCTAGTTCCAGGCGGGGCGCCGGATTCTGTCCCGGTTGCCCCTCTTCCAGGCCAGCTCTCTGCTGTGGCCAGGGAGTGCAGTGGAGGATGGCCCAAGTACTTGGGCCCTGCACCCCATGGGAGACCAGGAGAAGTACCTGGCTCCTGCCATCGGATCAGCGCGGTGCGCCGGCCACAGCTCGCCGGCTGCGGCGGCCATTGGAGGGTGAACCAACGGCAAAAAGAAGACCTTTCTCTCTGTCTCTCTCTCTCTCTCACTGTCCACTCTGCCTGTCAAAAAAAATAAATAAATAAAAAAAATAAAATAAAATAAAATATATTTAAAAATTTTTAAATTTAATTTAAAAAATTTTTAGATTTTAGTTTTAATTACATTTTTACTAATTCAAAAATGAAAGATTTAATGTAGATACACTTCTAAAACTATAATGATACTTCCCTCCCTACCCCCTTTCTTTCTTCCCTTCTTATTTTGTGAGATATATATTTTAAATTTACTTAATCTAAAGCTTCATGCTCCACTAAATAAAGACTAAAAAATAAAAAGACCATTGTTCAGCAGGACTATAGGCAAAAGCTATAAACAATAATTAAATAAAAAAGTCAGTTTCACTTATTTATAGTGATTTTTCACTGTATATAGTAACTACCACAAATGAGAGAAAATGTGATATTTGCTTTTTTCTTTTTTTTTTTTTTTGGTATGGCTTTTTTCACTAAGCATAATGATCTCCAGTTATATCCATTTTATTTCAAAAATCAGATTTCATTCTTTTTATGACTAAGTAGTATTCTATCATGTGTGTATACCACATTTTCTTTATCCAGTAACCCATTGATGGCCATCTAGGTTGATTACATATCTCAGCTATTGTGAATTGAGCTGCTATAAACATGTGAGTACAGGTAACTCTTTCATATGTTGATTTCATTTCTTTTGAGTATATTCCCAGGAGTGGGATAGCTGGGTCATATGGAAAATAAATTTTTAGTTTTCTGAGGAGTCTCTATACTGTCTTCTATAATGGTTGTATCAGTTTACATTCCCACCAGTAGTGTGCAGGGTACCTTTTTCTCCATATCCTCACCAGCATTTGTTATTTTTATTTATTTATTTTTTTTGACAGGCAGAGTGGACAGTGAGAGAGAGAGACAGAGAGAAAGGTCTTCCTTTGCCGTTGGTTCACCCTCCACTGGCCGCCGCAGCCAGCGCACTGAGGCCGGTGCACCGCGCTGATCCGATGGCAGGAGCCAGGTACTTCTCCTGGTCTCCCATGGGGTGCAGGGCCCAAGCACATGGGCCATCCTCCACTGCACTCCCGGGCTGATGATATTAAGTATGTGGTTACTTATATAAGTCTAAAGGTTAGTGGGGAAGTAGATATCTGAGGCACAAATAAGGAGTCATTAGTTAAATGATATTTAGGGGCTTGAGACTGGGTGAGATCTGAGGAATTAACTAGAGACAGAAAAGAGGGCAAAAAGCCTTGCCGTGGAGCTCTGCGACACACATAATGGTGTATATGTTCCCGCCAGGGAAATTTATGTCCTAATAGAAGCAAAATCAAATGTCTGTGTGAGTCAGCCAGGGTCCTTAGTTGCAGTGGAAAGCCACTATGACTGCTTTAGTAGCTCAGAGAATCATCACGAAGGTCAGTGATTCAGATTTAGAAAATGAGCAGAGGGGTTGGCACTGTGGCTCACTTGGTTAATCCTCCGCCTGCAGCGCCGGCATCCCATATGGGCACCGGGTTCTAGTCCTGGGTGCTCCTCTTCCAGTCCAGCTCTCTGCTGTGGCCCAGGAAGGCAGAGGATGGCCCAGGTGCTTGAGCACCTGCACCCGCATGGGAAACCAGGAAGAAGCACTTGGTTCCTGGCTTTGGATTGCTGTAGCTCCGGCCATAGTGGCCATTTGGGGGAGTGAACTAACGGAAGTGTGGGGAGCAACTCGGACTAGACTAAGTTACTGGAATTAAGACTTATTCTATGCATCTGCTCTCCCACAATATGGCGCTTGGAGAGGAGTAAACAGCTTCTACGCAGCTGCCTCTTGCCAACTTGAGTGATGACCTGCAGGAGCTGATCCTGCTCCTGATTGGAGGAGAGCAGCGTACTCAGCGTGTGGGTAGCAGAGTTGGGATTGGTGGAAGAGGACTATAAAGGAGGAGAGAGACAACATGCACCGGGAACATCTAAGAGGAACACCTGAGGAACATCTGAGCAGCCCCTGAGAGAGCTGGCCGGCGGTGTGCTGCTCCCCCGCGGAAGTGGGGAAAGTGGCAGGGGGAACCGCCCTTCCACGGAGGTGGAAGGGTCGGTAGCCAACCCGGGAAGAACCAGCAGCAAACCCGGGAAGGGCCGAGCAGACAAAAGAACAGCGCAGGGTCTAGTGTCGTTCCTCCACAAAGAGGGGGAGTGACAGGAAGGAAGACCTTTCTCTCTGTCTCTCTCTCACTGTCTAACTCTTGCTGTCAAATAAAAAAAGAAAAGAAAAGAGGAGCAGAAACCAGGGGATACCAGTGCCCCAGTCTCTTCCATGATGGTACCTCAGTGACTGTTGTGCCCTGGATACTACTATTGGGTCTGCCACCACTGGAGCTGGATATTGGATGGCACCAGGAAATCTACTGGAACTGGTGGCCACTGAGGCTACTGCCACAGGAAGTTCTCTCTGTATTCTTTGTAACTTTGTAACTTTGTAACTTTGTAACTTTGTAACCATAGCATTGTGGTGTTATCCTAGCTATAGGTGGTGGTGGTAGGGAAATAATTATCTGAACTTTCAGTTGATGATATGACAGACTCCTCATATTCCACTAAGATTCAGATAATAGAGAAGTACTCCAAAAACAACATGTGGAGTTCAGATGCCAGGTAGTTAAACCACATTCACACAGAAGTGTTGAGATGAGTATTGTGCTGCAACAGTTAAGCCACTGCTTGAGGTGCCCACATCCCATATTGCAGTGCCAGTGCAAGTCCTGCCTACTCTACTTCTGATCCAACTCCTTACTAATGTACCTTGGAGGCAACAGGTGATGACTCAAGTACTTGGGTCCCTGCCATCCATATGGGAGACCCAGATGTTCCTGGCTCCTGGCTTTGGCCTAGCCCAGGCCCTGCTATTGTGGGCATTTGGGAGTAAACCAGAGGATGAAAGATTTCCTGTTTATGTCTCTCTGTTTGTCACTCACTATACCTTGAAAAAATGCATACATACATTATAAACATTATACATACATATAAACTTGAAAAAAATGCACACATACATACATACTGCACCACTACCACTGCGTATTCAAAGTTTCTTTGGGAAGGTTAATAAATTGAAAGCTGCACATTCTGGCCTAAATATCTGACTACATAATCTACTCTAGGTAAATTTTAATTGAAAATGGCATATGCTGAACAATTTTCCCTGATTGGTAAATTATGTGACAGCAAAATTGCATGTGCTCTATAGCTTTGACTACCTGGTAGAAAAAGTACCAAGATTGTAGTCCAAGATATTACAGTCCATTTATCTGATTTACATAAGAACATTTGTAACACAGTGCAACACTCTTGTGATAGAAGATTTACTGGTTACCAAAGAGATAAAGCGTTCCCAGGCTAGCACCAACGTCATTTTTGAACATCACTGGAAAATGATTAAATGCTGGACATTTACAATGAACACTAAATTTGTTGTCTTCTTTCAGACTGTTGAACTTTATTCTGGTAGGTAGTTAAATTACTTAACGTTTTCTCCTTTCATGGTTTTTTGTCTTTCCTTTATTCTTTTATTTTTCGACAGGCAGAGTGGACAGTGAGAGAGAGACAGAGAGAAAGGTCTTCCTTTGCCGTTGGTTCACCCTCCAATGGCTGCCGCGGCCGGCGCGCTGCGGCCGGCGCACCGCGCTGATCCGATGGCAGGAGCCAGGAGCCAGGTGCTTTTCCTGGTCTCCCATGGGGTGCAGGGCCCAAGCACCTGGGCCATCCTCCACTGCACTCCCTGGCCACAGCAGAGGGCTGGCCTGGAAGAGGGGCAACCGGGACAGAATCCGGCGCCCCGACCGGGACTAGAACCCGGTGTGCCGGCGCCGCTAGGCGGAGGATTAGCCTAGTGAGCCGCGGCGCCGGCCATGGTTTGTTTTTAAGCTTTATTAGGGTGAATTCAGAGTACCCTTTATGCTGGGCTAGTTTTGCAAAAATATGACCTCTTGCAAAAACATGACCTCTGCAGTCTCTTCTCTTCTGGTGGCCAGTGTCCCTCCAACTGTGGCTGGTTGGAACCTGAAAGTCTTGCAGCCCTGCTGAACTCCTGCAGTTTTGTTGTGCTTACAGCTTTCTTTTGCTGGCCTTGTGAAGTTTCACCCTATGTTGGGCAACTTGGTGTTCAGTCACAATTAAGGAGACCCGAGTGCTGATTTCTGGAGCTCCTGCCCCCTCTTGTTTGTCCTCCTCAGACTCTGATCTGTTTTCTTTAGCAAGGCCCTTGTGCTCTGCTTGGGACCCGCTTCACTAGCTGTGGTCTTGAACGTGCCTCCGGGCAGCAAGCCAGGGAGGTGGGAGCACCTGTCTCATTTGTTTTGCTTCTTCCAAGGTACATAGTACTGTGCTACCTGCCTCCTGAAACATTCTGAAAGTAGGATTCTTCCTTTATTTTACCATGCTTTATAGTTATGCGAGAGTAAGCCTGGTCCTACTCTGTCTGGACAGAAGCAGAAGTTCAATTAGAAAAATGATTAAATCCCTGACACATATGAGCACTGGTTCAGGTACTTCATGACTTTTTAAAAATATAATGAATCAAAATCCATGGTATGATGAGGGAGAAAATAATCAGGGTTAGCACAGTAAAACAGCAATAATAATAGCAATAGCAAACATTTAGGATTATTTTGTGTATAAGATGTATTACATATGTGCACATGTATGTATATTTATATGTAACTTAATATTTCTAACAATCATTTAGGTAAGTGTTAGTATCTCCATTTGCAAAGTTAGAAAATGAAATATAGAAAAATGAAACAACACAAAGTCACACAGCTAGTAAATGGTGGAGCTAGGATTTGAACCAGACAATATTGGCAAAAAAAAAAAAAAAATGCTGCCTCAGGAACCCAGGCAATTCCCCCCTACCATCCATCATGTACTGCATGCAGTGAAGTAGACTTGCTTTAGAAATATAAAAGGATACTTCAGAAGTTCATGAAGAAATGAAACAAAAAGACAAATTTAGTTCGTGTGAAAAAATTGAAATCGATACATAGTCTTTTCAGGGCTGGCGTTGTGGCGAAGCAGAATAAGCTGCAGCCTGTGACACTGGCATCACCTGTAAGCATCAGTTCAAGTTTCTGCTGCTCTACTTCCGATCCAGCTGCCTGCTAATTTACCTGGGAAAGCAGCAGAAGATGGCCAAGTACCCTGGCCCCTGCCACTCATGTGGGAGACCCAGGTGGAGTTCCAGGCTCCTGGCTTCTGCCTGGCCCAGCCCCAGCTGTTAAAGCCATCTGGGGAGTGATTCAGAGGATGGAAGATCTCTCTGTCTGTCTGTCTCGCCCTCTCTCTCTGTGACTATGCCATTCAAATAAATACATCTTAAAAAAAATACATAGTGTTTTCATAGTGCATGTTATGCATGGATTTCGATTTTTTTTTGCACCATAATTTTTAATTCCATTTTCCATGAACTTTTTGAAGTACCTTTTGTAACACTGCACAAGATCCAATTTTATTCTTTTTCTCAGCTTCCTTCCTTCTCTCCCTTCCTCCCTACTTCACTCCCTCCCTCCCTCCTTCCTTTATCCCTCCCTTCCTTTTTGTCTCCCTCCCTTCATCTTTTTGCTCCAAATTCCATTCCTGGAAGATTATATATAAAACTTTAGCTTAAAATGAACTACCCTTCCATCTCTTGAACACACACTCTCTGTGCCTCTCAATCCTCTCAATATATATTTGTAGATTTCTATATCTAATCTTAAGTCTGTACCATATCTCTACCTCCTTACTCCACATCCCTATGTCTCACTTACCAGTATCTTCATTCTACAAATTTCAAACTGAATTCATTAACTACCGGTTCATTTAGGGAGTGTCTCTTTTTCTTAAAGAAGGTGAAAAATTTTGGAATAGCCTATGAACCCTTCCTTCTATGTCTTTTTTTATGAAACAGGATCCAGAACCCATTGCACTTGCGAAATGTGTCTTGAGAAAGTCCTTTTGCTGTTCTCGGTGCTTGATTCAAGGCCTCCGCAGCCCTTACTGATCTATTGCAACAGTAACTTAACTTGACCTTCCTGTGTTTATTGTTCTTCTATTCTTTCTATTCTTCATGGTATTTGTAGAATTATCAGCACAAAACTCAAGTAGATTTGCCAATACTGGTTAAAGCCCTACGCTGGCTCATCATTATATTCCGTCAGGAGTTAAGGGCAAGGCTTCAGAGTCTGACTGACTTGTCTTCGCTTTCCACCACTTTCTAGCCAGGATACATGGGAATTTCCTACCCCTTTAGCAGTAGTTTCCTCTTCCATAAAATGGCCATGAAAATAATTACTCCTTATGAAGATGTTGGTAGAAAAGCATTATTTCAATGAAATAAAAAATGTTTAAAATACTTAAGGGTTTTGTGCATGCTCAATAAATTATTATAACTGTTATCATTTATTGTTAAGAGAATGGCAGTCACGACTTTCTACTATGCCTTGCCTTGCATTCCAGGTTTCAGATCTGTTAGATTATTTGCTGATGTGGCCCACATATTTTGGCTCATGCTCTGTTGCTTCAGTGGAAACATCTCCCCCAAACCCCAATTGCTTGCTGAAAGAATATTGTGCCATCACTCCTGGGAAACCTTTTGCGGTTATCACAGTCAGAATAATTACTCTTTGGGGTTTCCTTAGTCTTAATGAGAGAACATGCCATTACTTATTCCATTCTTCCAGCACTTGTCTTGTGCTGAGTTTGAACTCTTAAGAGTCAGATAAACAACAAGAGCAGTGTTAGCTGTTACTGTTATTTTTATCAGTTGTGTACCTGTCTTGTCCTTTGAGCTCTACCAGCCTGTTACCTCCTCAAGGGCACAGTCATCAGATTTATTTTTGTGTTGTCTCACAGTGCCCAGCACAGTCCTTTGTAGGTACAAGCACTCCTTGAGTGAGTGTTGAATATAGAGGGGGAGACTTCAGCCGTTTAGTGGAAGGAGTTGAGTGGCTGGGGTTCCAGGAGCTCCCCTTTAGATGTTGTGGAGCCTTCTGAAGTAGTTTCTGGCCAGAGATAGGAGCTCGGTCCTGCATCAGCTGGACTGTAGGGCAGAATTCTTACGTAATAAGTGATTTTAGTTTCTTTGCTAGCAAAGCAAGGTCATTATGTTCTTAAAGCACCCAATTGTGTGAAATATCACTAATGAGGCACCATTTCTTGGTGTCAAATACAACTTCTGCCTTTGTCCCTTTATTTTCCCAACACCTCTTTAGATACTTGAAAATAATTTAGAAATCTTTAGGAAAATTAATGTATTTTCCAGATCCTGTTTCACATTGGGTTTAATATTCTACTTCTAAAGTATAATAAATGTAAATAAGTATGAGGTTAGCTTTTTCAGGCATTTACCCTGCGATCAATGTCAGACATGTCACTCCTTAGGAAATCTTGAAGAAATTCACAACAATAAGAAAAGGTGTGTTTTCACCATTCATTCCCTCTTTCTTGCTTTTGTTCAGATTTGAATAGATAAGTAGTTATTGAGGAAAATACTATTTTAATATACTGTTTTACAGTATCTGCTTTTAGGAAAGTGATTTGCAAAGTGCTATGTTAAATAATGAGGGAGTTATAAAAATGCCTTTTAGTAGCTACAGATCTGGGAAAATGTGTTCTTCCTGCTTGGTGTTAGATCTTTGAAACAATAATGTTAAATTACAACATTTTTATCTGAGCTAGCTTGGTAGCTCTAAATAATGCCCAATAATGAAAATGTATTGGTAAAATAGTAATTCTATGAATCTTTCAGATATAAATACTGATTCAACTTGGACTATACAAAATAATTAATGAAAGGCAGAAAGAAAAAAATAAGGTGATTGAAGACAGTGTTGGTGTTTAAAGATTTCTAGGTAATGGCCCTTTCCCAAGTGATATATATATATGAAATGAAAGCTGAAACACCGGACACCAGGGGAAGCAGTACCACCACATACATTACAAATATGTGATCCAATGGAAATATCCCTAAAAATTGAAACCAGTGTGAAGTTTTCCATTGGTTCTTTCTACAGAAACATCAATGCATCTTCTTTGTCTCCATTCCTGATATAGGCCTCTGTACTCTGACCACTCCCCCTCCCTCCCATGTTGAATAACTGTATTTTATTAAGTCCAACAACATCTGAGCAAGGGAGATTATTCTTCAGGCCACAGACCACGCGTATGCTGTGCATATGGATTCACAGAAGCCCGAAAACCACTCCACAGATTAGGACTACCGTGTTCCTTAATTTACATACAAGAAAGTGAAGCCTTGAGTAGTTTAATTAGGACTTGCAGATGGAAGTTAGCCCCACAGGCACATTATGTTTGGCCTGTTGGGATGCTTTAAAATCTTGTTTTCATTGAAAACTCAGAGGCTCTGACACTGTTGGACTGATATTCTTGCACGGCATCGATTGGCTAGAATTGTGTAGACACTGTCCCTTTCCCAGGATTCATATATCGGCAGGTTTGCAATCCTCACAATTCCATTTTGTTTGAGACCTCTTTCACTTATTCATGTTACCTGCCTTGCCCTTCTGAAGATTTTCTTTTATATAGCAAGTCAGAGGCAGGGTAGAAACTTCTCTCCAGATTTCTAAAGCAATTTTAGGTTCCTACCCTCATCACTCAGGCAGTGGTGTAAAAGCAGGAGAAACCCTGAGGCCCCTCCCTTCAATGCCATTGACTTGCTTTGTGGATCTGAACAGATCACTTACTTAACTCTTCTGAACTTCAATTTTGTTGTCTGTCAAATGAGTCATCATAAGCATTTAAATCATGCATGTAGTTTTAAAAAATTAAGAGCATCCCTGTATAATCATAGTTAATATTTTATTTATTAGATTGTTTTTAAATGCTGCTTCAACCATGTTCTTTTCCTACTGTTAATACCATCAGTGCTTTGAATTCTATAGGATACGTTCCAAATTTCTCGGTGATAGATTCGCTGGCCCCAGCCGTTTGGTTCCAACATACCTTGCCAAAGCATCTTTTACTTTGTATGTAATGTGATGTAATTCATTCACCATTCATTTCCCTTCCTCCCATACTCCCCACTACTCATTCTTTTATCCCATAAATATTGAGTACCTCTTCTCAAGGTTCTGTTCCCAGCACAGGAGGTTACAAAGTTGAATGAGACAAAATCCCTGCCTCTCACATTCTTACTTTTGAATATATCTTCCATCTGCTTGCCTCTTTTGCTCATACTGTTCTTTTTCTCTTTCATTGTTTTTTTCAACAAATATGTATTGAATGCCTTCTGTGCCTTCATGGGATGTTGCTGTTGTAACAAAGTCCCTGCTCCTTTTGCATTTATGTTCTTGGGAGTGAATAGTCATTTTATTTAAAAAACAAAACAAAACAGTGCATAAGGGGCCAGCATTGTGGCACAGGGGGTTAAGCTACAATTTGTCACACTGGTATCCTGTATCAGAGTCCCAACTGCTCTGTTTCCAATCCAGCTCCTCTGCTAATGTGCCGGGGAAAGCAGCAGAAGATGTTCCAAGTATCTGGGCTCCTGCCACCTACATGGGAGACCTAGGCTCTTGGCTTCCAGTCCTGACTGTTAGGGACATTTGGAGAGTGAACCAAAGAAAGTCTCTCTCTTTCTCTTCCTCTGTTTCTGTCACTCTGCCTTTCAAATCAATCAATCAATCTTTAAGAATATACATATTATGCATTATTTAAAATCTTTTCACACCAAAATCCACTTATAATTCCATTTTCTGCACTTTTTGAAGTACCTTCACATATATCATAGGGCTAAAAAGAATGGTAGGGAGGATTTTTAAAAAAAATATTTATTTATTTGGATGCAGAATTACAGAGAGGTAGAGGCAGAGGGGGAGAGAGAGAGAGAGAGAGAGAGAAAGAATGAGGTTGAGAGGTCTTCCATCAGCTGGTTCACTCCCCAGATGGCTGCAATATCCAGAGCTGCACCAATCCCAAGCCAGGAGCTTCTTCCAGGTTTCCCATGTGGGTGCAGGGGCCCAAGAATTTGGGCCATTTTCTACTGCTTTCCCAGGCTATATCAGAGAGCTGGATCGGAATAGGAACAGCCAGGACTTGAACCAGCACCCATATGGGATGCTGGCACTGCAGGCGGCAGCTTTACATACTACGCCACAGCACCATCCCCAAGGATTTTTTTTTTTTTTAACAGATTGATTTATCTGAAAGAGAATGAGGGCGAGAGAGAGAAAAAGAAAGTTCCATCCATTGGTTCATGGCTTCAACAGTTGGGGCTGGGCCAGGCTGAAGCCAAAAGGTTCATGCGGGTCTCCTACATGTGTGCAGAGTCCTAGATACTTGGGTCATCTTCTACTGCTTTTTCCCAGGCCATTAGCATGGAGCTGGATTGGAAGTGAGGCAGCCGGGTCTCAAGCCAGTGCCCATATGGGATGCCAGCAATACAGGTGGTGGCTTTACCAGCTTTGCCACAACACCAGCTCCAGGGAGGATAGAAAGTAACAGTGAAGATCAATAATTTTAGATGAGGTAGTGAGAGATAGCCTTTATAAACAGAGACCTGAAAGGATAGTTGAACAGAGAAATGAAACAAGTGAGGGAGGGGCCTGGAGGGAATCTGGAGGAAGAATTGTCCAGGCACAATGCACAAGTAATGAGTGGCATGTTCAAGGGACATGCGGAGGGAAGGGTAAGTAGTGAGCTCAGAAGGTTGGAGGACATTACAGGCCCTGGTGAATGCCTAGGCTGTTGGCTGCAGAATCAGTTGCATCACCTCTGAGTTTTTATCTCAAGTTTCATTGTGAAACCCGTGTTCATTCCTGTTGATGATGATTCCTCCTTCCAACTTGCAGAATACCTGTTGGCCACATAGCTCCTGTGCAGCTTTAACTATGTTAGCAGTGGGTGTCTGGTTGGCTTCTTATAGGTCCTCTGTTCTGTCCTACCTTCTTTGTAAGCCCCTCTAGTTTAGGGACATAAGCATTTCAATCCTATGTGATGATTGCATCTACTTGGTGCTTAATGTATGTTTATCTTATGAAACCCTGGCTTCAGATGTCAGCAGTAGGAATTTGAAAATGATGTCTGATAAAGAAGTGAGAGGACTTGATCGTAGATTGGACATAAGGAATGATGATCCTGGAGGAATAATGGCGTAAGGGACAGAAGAAAGGAAGGAGGAGAAGCTGATTTGGGGGGTATATTGATGAATTTGATTTGGGATTTATTGAGCTTTCTATGCTCACAGGATATCTAAGGGGAGCTGTCCAGAATGATGTGGATGTGTCAGAATACATGTAGAGTATTGGAATGATCTTGATTGCTGCTTGCAGTTATGTAATCTCAAACACAGGGACAGCCTCTATGTTTTTATGTTCTTAGAACAAGGGCTGGCAAGTACTTAAGCCATTTGTCTTTAACAGATCTGTGGAGATGCATGGGAAGGTTGGCATGCAGCCTTGCTGTTTGTCACGGACTAAGGTAATTGTGGCTCTGAATCCCAGCCTCGCCATTTTTACCTGTGTGGTCTTGGTCAGGGAAAGTGGCCCCTCTGAACTTCAGCATCCTCATCTGGAAAATGGAACAGTAAGACCTTCTCTGCAGGGCTATGAGCTGATGAATATAAGCATAGATTCTAGCATGGAGTGATGGCTCAATAGTACCTATTCATCGGCTATAATTATTATCATTATTATTATAATTAAGATAAGCCTTTCACTGTGGAGTTTCACTCTCAGGCTTGGAAGAGATCTCAAAAGTAATTGTTTTGGTGTTGCTAATGACTTGTTCTGCATATAATCTCCCCAGTAACTAATCCTGGCAGTGCATTCAGAACTCTGAGAGTAAGTTGAACATTGTTGGAACACTGGACTCAGAGTACATCAGTCAGTGTTATAGAAGCTTACATATTACGTTACCAGCAATTAAAAGGGCCTCATGGTGGGATAGGTGTTGAAGGGCACTTTGGATAATAAGCAATAGAATTACGTAGCGTTTTGGATTTGTAGATGTATCTCCTTAAATAAGGTGATATCATTTCACAGAAGGTAAATAAAATTCAATCCTCATAGCAACATTTTTATAGTGATAGAATGAGCACTAAATTTTGAGAGAAGCAAATAGAATCTATTCAAGTTCATGTGGGAGAAAAACTCTTGCTTACATTTTGTATCCTGTTAGATGCCTCTACTTCTTTTTTCCTTCAAATCAGAAATTAAGGTTTTGTTAGTCCATTGATCTAGAGTCCTTTCCTTTTCAATATACGTCACAAGTCTATGCTTTGAAATGGCTTCCTGGAGGTTCTGACTCCTTAGGAGCTGCTGGGGCTTCTAAAACTGTGAGCTTTACTTTTTTGCATTAGAGCAGATGTCGTGGCACTAAGACCCAGAAACCATTTGCTTGTGTGGCTGGAGCTGGGCAGGCTGTGCTTGCACTGAAGGGAAGGAAGTCATTAGTGCAGACTGAGCTGTGGAGTTGGGTTCTTGCAGGATTTCCTTCCAGCCTTTCCCCACTAAGGTTCTTGGGAATTAAAAAAAAATCTAAACACACAAACCAAGTTTTCCTATTTACAGTGTTCAGGGAAGGTGGGCATTTCGGGAAGGGCAGAACCTTTTCCCAAGTTAGCCAAGAAGGAAGAGAAAACAGCGTAAAGAAGCTCTGATGACAGATCTTTGGAATTTTCTTTGCTAAATTTTACAAACGAGAAGTACACCCAGAATTTTGGGAATTGCTCCAGGCTGCGCGTGAGGGTTTGATTGCTTGTCTAATCTTTTTTGAGAAGAGGAGAATTCGCCAAAAGGGGTTTGGATGGCAGGAGCCCGACTGGGTGTCTGCAGCGGCTCTCGTTCTCAGTCTCTTCCGTGAGGGAGGGTCTCTGCAGCCGGCCCGGAGACCCCCGCCGCAGGCTCCTTTTGCAGGCGCCGGTCGGGAAAATGCCCCGCTCGGGCAGAAGTACGCCGGTGGCTGCTGGGACTTCCTAGCCCGGTGGGAAGTGTGTTCGTTGTTTGGGATACTTTTCATTGAACTGAAGGCGAAAAGACTGGACTCTCCTGGGCTTTTTCCCTTCGCAGTGAATATGGGAAAGAATTAGGGGTGGGAGGGAGGCAGCATGACTTGCAGTCGCCGCTGCCCTGCATCTGCCCCCAGCCCCCAGCCAACATCTTGATGTTCCACGTATCGGCTGTACAAATATGATGAAATGGCAGCCCCGGAAGAAGGTAAGTGTCCTGGAGAGGGGACGGGGCCCCGAAGCCCGACCCAGGGAAGGGCGACAGCGGGGCCCTCGGCCCTCCGGTAGTTCGCTGGGCCGGCCGGTCCAGGCATCCTGGGTCCTTGGGGACTTGCGCCGGTCCCGTCGGGACGAGTTATCAAGTCTGGTCTGCGCCCAGTGCCCTCTAAGTTTTTCTCTCCTGGGCTGCGTGGACCCTCGGGGGTGACAGCTCAGAAGCACTCGTTTGCCTGAGAAGCCTCTGGAGCCAGAGATTCGATGCGCTGTGCGGGAGCCCTCCCGCGGCTGCCAGAGTCCGAGGACTCGGCGGCGCCCGGTCCCCGGGGGGAACCACCTGGGGCTGCGAGCCAGACCCTTTGCAGCGGCCCCCGCAGGTGGGTGTCCTAACACCTACTTCCCCAAGGGGTTAATAGGCTCCGAGCCGCTGGCAGCCGCTTCCCCAGGGCCCCGCTGGGGGGCGAGCAGCCCTAGCACAACCGCCCAGCCGCTGGTTCCTGGGCGGCGGGGCCTCGGGCCCTCGGGCCGGAGAGCCTGGGGCCGGGCCCGACCGGGCCTTCCGCCCGCGGGGCTCTCAGCGGCCGCGTGGGCCCTTGCGAGAGCGCGCGCCGGCCATTGTGCACGGGCGTGTGTCTGTGCGTATCGGCGTGTGTGCATCGATCGTGGGGATGGGGGAGGGGGCACTTGGCTTTTTGCGAGATTATTTCCTAATATGGCTCCTTTGTTGAGAACTCACGGGAAAAAAATCCAGTGGTTCTATCAAAATAAATTGCTATTGGTCCCAGAAATAACATTTCTAAATGTGGTCCCTACCCCAGGACGCTGAGAGAGAAAGACAGCTTTCTTCAAGTTGTTGGCAGCTGTACGTTTGGCTAGGGCTCCCTTTTGCTAACTTGTCTGACTGCCGATAACTGTTAGGTGAACCCACTGGTTCACTGCATCGCAGGACTTTTAAATTTTTCCCTTCAAATACTTCATTTGGCCGTGGTTTTTATTGACATTCTTCTGAAGGAAAACAGTGAACTGAGTGTGCTGTGTCCCTCCCCAGCCGAGACCTGTCTCTGTTAGCAGCTGCCTGGTGTTTTACTTGAATTAGCTAAACTGACCCTTCCTTTGTGGCATGATGTGTGATACCGTGTTTCACATCAGAGCTAAAATAGAAATTATGTGTGAAATGCATGGGACGATAGGGTGCATTTGTTGTATTGCTGGAGAATCTAACAAGCCCTGCCTCAGGATAGGCTGGTGAATTGACAGGTTTTCTTTGATACCTGATTGATGCGATTTTGTCCTCTGACACTGTCTTTCTACCTCATCCTAAAGTCGGCGTCTCTTATTTATGAGTTCTCATCATAGAGCTGCTATCAATGAGACTGATTTCATTTACTTTGCTTAAGGGAGCCATGTGTTCCCTGCCCCCACTCCCAACCCCCAATAAAAACCGAGTTGGGACGAGGAAAATCCATGGAAGAAACCATATAATTAAGCAATTTAAACAGATGCTGCATATTTCTAAAGTCCCTTATTTCTACTATCTTTGTAAATTGCATATTTATGAGTAGTTTTAAAATGTCTGCAAACTGTACATTCATAAATGTCTGTTTTTTCTATTTTACCCAATATGCAGTAACTCATGTGGTTATGTCTGTGGAAACCCCTCTGGGTACTGGTATTGCTTGAACCACGGAAGTATTATTCTTGGCAGTCAGGTGGATTTCTGGACTCTGGAAGATTCTGTTTCAAATGTTAGGATTCACTCTGCAGTATTTACTCACTCTGTGATGCTTAAATTGCTATAGCAGAAGGTTGTGTTTATTCACTGTGTTCATAATCTCACATCATCATCTTATAAGGATCCAGATATAATTCTGCAGAGTTCATAGAGGATTAAAAATAAGCTGAGCCATCAGATACTGTATGACTGTTTGGTTATAGCTTGAGAACAATTCTTGCTGTTTCTGCTTGGAAATGGAAGCTTCCGTGTAAGGGACTTGATGTTCAACTCCAGTGGGGCACTAGGAAGTCTTTACAGATATTATAGGTTTATTTTATTACTCTTGCCAGGATATTCACATGATCAGATAATTGCTATGGTTTCTGGCTGAGTGTGCTAACACATTTGTAGTGGTACAGTCACATGCCATGTGTTTTACCAAACTGTTTCATAAAACCATTTACACTACAGATGAAAAGTGATACTGCATTGATGTGATTTTAACGAAACTAGGAATGCCACCACAGGCAGCACTTGTCCACAGCTGGCCTTCACGACTAGAACTGGCTGGTAGTGAGCAAAGATGGTGTCCTCTCAGACACCGCTGGTTCTGATTTTTCTAAAGTCTGGGCTCACCATAAAAGAAATACTACAGCTTGTAGATTTTTTGGTTTCTTAAATGAGTGTGCAGCTGGGAGACATGGTAAAAGGAGAGCTCTTTCCTCCTCTTATTTGCCATGTCAAACTAAAGACTAAAACAAGCTTTGTAAACATGTGAGACTGGAGGATTCAGTTAGGGCTTGCTACCACTTTACAAAGAAGCCGTCGGAACAGGACCAGTGAGGAGCTTAGCACCAGTCTTCCAGAGCACAGTGGACCTTCCATTTGACACTTAATTTCATACTAGAAGCACTAGCCTTTTAAAAGCCTCTGCTCTGTGTTAGGCGTCTCTACTTGGTCTTACATGCATTCATTTAATGTTTATCCTATTAGATAGCAAGTGTTATAATTTGTATTTTACAGGTAAGGAAACTCAAATTTAGAGAAGTGAAATGACTTACCCAGAGTCACATGACATGGCAAGGTCTGAGCTAAGCTTATCTACTTCAAAATGTGCGTTCTCTAGCATCCTACTTGGGAAATTTGCTGACCAGGGATCTTTATCCAGGAAGATGTAGCTGAAATGATCCCAATCTGTGAAAGCTAGCCATAGTTCACTTCTTTTTTTTTTTTTTTTTTTTTGACAGGCAGAGTGGACAGTGAGAGAGAGAGACAGAGAGAGAAAGGTCTTCCTTTGCCGTTGGTTCACCCTCCAATGGCCGCCGCTGCAGCCGGCGCACCGCGCTGATCCGATGGCAGGAGCCAGGAGCCAGGTGCTTCTCCTGGTCTCCCATGGGGTGCAGGGCCCAAGCACCTGGGCCATCCTCCACTGCACTCCCTGGCCACAGCAGAGAGCTGGCCTGGAAGAGGGGCAACCGGGACAGAATCCGGCGCCCCAACCGGGACTAGAACCCGGTGTGCCAGCGCCGCAAGGTGGAGGATTAGCCTATTGAGCCACGGTGCCGGCCCATAGTTCACTTCTGAGTGCAGGCACCAAGATACTCTTCCTGAATCCCTTTTGTCTTAAAGAAACTCAGTAATTTCACTCACCTCTGATTTCTAGGGGATGTTTATAGTGTATGCACCTTTAGGCTGATTGTCAATTAGAATCCCTTTTAAATCTCTTTATGCATATATATCTTTTTTTTATATTTATCTAGCCTCTATATTATACTCTATAAGTTCAGGAATCATATCTCACCCCTCTGTTTTGGTGCCAAAGATAATACTTGTTTAGTTGCTTAATAAATATTTGTTTGATATAAGACCAAATAAGACTATTACTTTGTAAAACCTAATTTTTAGACCTTCTTATATTTTACGTGATTCATAAGTATTAGATTGTAGTGAATTATTAAAGAAACCCAGAGTAGTTTGTCACCCTTGCAGTTAGCATCAGGGAGTAGGCAGCCACACTCTCCACAGAATTTTTGTGTGGTTGAGACACAGTACCAGGCCCTGTGGACCAGACTCCTGATCCAATGTTATGATCTTTTTATTCATGTAACCTTATTGGCCCAGCAAAATATGGTTTCCCCTATTTTCATCTTTAGTTAAGAGGTTATCCTGTATCACACTTATTTTCATGTTGTATTTGCAGCAGTGATAGTAATTAAAATGCTCATCTCATAGGAACATGTTTGTTTACAATTCTGAAGCTATTTCTGCTTTTTAAAATCCACGGATTAGTATCAGATAACACTGTGTAAATAAGAGTGCAGTCAAAACCTTCCTGGAAAGCCACTGCTGATTGGATTTTTCATTGCTTATCCAATGTTATTTTACTGTTCACACATAATAAAAGATCATTAATATGAATATGTCACATAAGCTACATTAATTATGTCATTTGAGAATCATATGATGTATTTATCTTGTTATACCTGTCACATTAATAAAATGTGAATCTGGCTTCTGAAATGACTTCTATGATGGAGGCTCATTTCCAAAGCTTGTTTGGAAGCTCACTTGTGAGGATTATGTACTGTCAATAATTTTCTTGGAATAGCTTATTACTTTTATGGAAGGGTGTACTCATATTTCACATCCCTTTACTATCTCTATGATGAAGTATTTTGTTTCTAGATTATAGGGCTAAGTCTTAAATTGTAATACAGCTATACTAAATTGCTTGGTCACCTAACTGAATGTTGTGCTAATTGATAATACTGTATGACTCATTTTGGGCCACAGTGTGTTTAATAGCATAAAATTAGACTTAAAAATAAGCATCGTGGACAAAAGTAGTTATAAAGAGATGCCTTGGAGATTTCCTGATAGAGGTCTTTCCACAAACCCATTCTATATACCATTCCCAGGTCCAGATTTGGTTCTGGTGTCTCTCTTGCCTTGTGTCCTTGGGCGAGTGATTTAATCTTTCATCTCTGACTTCCCACTGTCATGGTGGAGTGCCTTATTATCATTTGCTGGATCTATTGGAAATGGCTTTGTTTTTTCTGACCTCTCTTTTCTTTGGTTTTACCTTTTTACTCCTTCCAAGTAATTTTTGAAGAAACACACATCTGCTCACATTATTAATCTTCTTAAAGCGTTGCCCAGTCTCTCTATTGCTTAGAGAGTGGAATAAGCACATCCTGGGATTGGAAAGTAGAAGAAAGTGACTGGGTTTGGGGGAAAATCTCAGGACTCCGTGTGTTTGTGTATGTGTGTGTGTATTT